GACTAGTGAAATGGACTCTTAATAACTGGAGATCACTTCTGTTCACCTACCAAAATCCTAAAATTGCCATATAAAAAATAATGAATGACATTTCGCTACAGTGCACAGTGCCAATTAACGTATATACCAGCAGCCGGCGATAAAACCGAAAAAGAATCATACATGAATGAAAAAATATCATCGAGCCTAGCGATAAATACGACGAAAAGTGCATCTGAAACGTCGCAACGGCCGGTCGCCGTCCTCAGACTCCGTCATTAAGTGTCATTAATTCGACGGCATTTAAATGACGGGCATATTATCATCGTTCTCCGGCTTATATTCGATGCTGTTAAACGGCCGCCACTTCCAAAACTAAACAGGTTTGGTCATTTTCGGTCGTTTTATTTCGTTTTTATTAATATATATCCTGAAGATCCGATTCTCCTGTAAGTGGTGAGGTCTTTGAACCTGTTTGAACAGAGCGAGCTTGTCAAAATAAGAATGGAAGAGATATGGGTAAAAGAAGAAGCACTTGTGAAAAATATGTACAGCTACTTTCAGTAAAAAAATATTTACATTAGTATCAGTTTTGGGTAAAACGATCTTTTGTAAAAACAGAAACTTGAAAGTACCTTGAAGCATATTTCAATATCATATCATGTAGGTGTCTATTGAATAAACAAAAGTTCTGATTAAAAAGTAAATTAACATTAATTTGAAAATAGCAAACAAATATTTCGTTGAAATTATTGATATTTTTCTAATGTAGTTAGTTTTTATATTTCTTTAGTTTTGTTTTGTTTTTCTAAATAAAATTTAAATTGGGCATATATTTAGGCAGATATTTAATTCAAAATCATTGAAGAAATGTCTAAAAAAATAAAGAAACCTTAGTTAATCTGATTCAAACAAAATTGGCTGCAAACAAAAACTGTATATTGTCATTTTATTTTTTTGCTTTCGGAGTATTTAACTAAAAGATGCATTCTTTACTTGTATGTAATTGGCCCCAAACAATAATTATATTTCTACAAAAGCCAAAGCAATAAGACTCCAAGTCTCGCTATTCCTTTGGCTTTTGTATTTATAAACCAGGTCTCTTTGGGATTAATGGACGCCTTTTTTTTATAAAATTTTATAAATTTTATAAAAATCATATTTCTGTTAAACAGGTTTTTCATCATAGTGTAGTTGCATAGTTGCAAATATTTACACTCTAGTTATAACCATAGACAGCACATCACACCAATGTGTCGGTCCTTAACAGAATCCATTTACCACAAATACTTTCCAGCACTGTCTATAAACGTATCCTTTCCTTCTTCGGCCATGTCAACAGGAGCGTGCACATGGAGAGACTGGTAGTACAAGGAAGACCTGCAGGACCCCGCCGCCGCGCGCCGCACCTAGGTAGATCACCAATAAGGTTGGTGGACATGGTTGAAAAACTTATGAACATCAACCTGGAGGGAGCCTTTCGAAGGACAGAGAACAGGGAAAATTGGTGACAGGCGCGGGCGCGGGTGGTGCGTACGACCGTCAGGTTCTTAGAGCCAGAACCAGAGCCACTACACGCCGTACGCGACGTACGGAGTTAAAACGACGAGTTAGGATAACAGTCATCAGCCATTGGCTCAAAGATGGTAACTAATGCGAAAAATTACGAGAATTTATTCAGTATATTCCATTGCAATTATAGTTTTCATCATAGTGTAGTTGCAAATATTCACACTATAGTTAGGATAACTACTATAATCACCAATTGGACTAAGGATGGTAACTAAAATTTTTCGACTGTATTTACAGGGATTTATCTATTTACCATCTTATATCGTTAATTTTATTAACTATAGTTTTCATCATAGTCTAGTACCAAATATTTGCACTTTACTGTTATTAGCAATTGGCGTAAGAATGGTAACTATCAATGCGAAGTTGATCAAAGAATGCCTAGAGAAGCTGAACAAATTAGACAAAGAAAATAAAGTCCTCCTTCTCTGTGTGCCATCCCATCAAGGGGTAATGAAAAAGAAAATTATCTAGCTAAAAAAGAAGCAAACGCTCCACTAACTGGACTAGAATCGTTTTGCTTCCCAAGTGGAAACCAACTTAAAACAGAACTCAAGAACCTGAAAGACTCCATCCCTAATTTGAAATTGAAATCCTTCAATCCGGTGTCCGATGTAAGATACGTGAAGAAATTTCTCAGGACTTACAACCGAGATATTGATTTTAACAATCTTCTTTGTTCGGGAGTTTTCACAGGACACTGTCTCCTTAATCAACACCTCAGTAAATTGAATCTATAAAATAACGACAAATGCAGATTCTGTTGAGATGTGGAAACATTCAGAACACCTCATCAATGAGTGCGCCGAGACGGCAACAATTTGTGCTATAAACTTTTGTACGACTGATATTGGAGATGGAGAACTAACCTCTGTAAAACCGTCTCAAATACTGGCTGTTGTCAAGGCCCTGAGACTGTATGATGAGTTATAACTCAAGAAACGGTAACTCAGTAGATCTAATAGTACAATCTACAAGGATGGTAACTAAAGCTTTCCCAATTATATTTTTTATTCACCATCTACATTCGCTATTTTTTATGAATTATAGTTTTGATCGTAGAGTAGTTGCAAATATTCACTCTAGTTAGGATAACTGTCATCAGCAATTGGTCAAAGGATGGTAAATCAAAAGCTTTCCATATCTACTCACCATCATTTCGCTATTTTTTACGAATCTTAAGAAAATACACAGATCGTGAGTCTTCAATTATGAACTCTTAATAGAAGAACTCAAAGACATTATATAACTTTAGCCTTAAAGAACAATTTAGCAATACATTTCATATTTTTGTATTTAGACACTTTCTTTATAGGTAGATAAATTCGAATTGTTTGGATGTGGATTTAAAGACACTTTATTTGGCTAAAACTAAGAACATTTCTTTCATATGAATGATGTAGAATGTAGAATGTTTAGGAGGGGAGTTAATCACCGCGACCTTATAGATCTATTGTGTGTTCCCCTTTCTTGAGTTATAACGAGTTATAACTCACCATACAGTCTCAGGGCTTTAAGAAAAGCCAGTATCTGAGACGGCTCCACAGAGGCCAGCTCTCCATCCTCGACATCAGACGTACCAAGGTTCATGGCACGAATGGTCGTCGTCTCGGCGCACTCAGTGATAAGGTGTTCTGGTGTTTCCCATTTTCCCCACAAAATCTGCATTCGCCGCTGTTTCTCAGTTTCAGCCTACTGAAGTGTTCGTTGAGGAGACAGTGTCCTGTTAGAAACCTCGTGACAATCCGAAGATTGTTTTTACTTAAATCAAGGAAGACCTTTGATTTTTCTCGGTCATAAGTTCTAAGGAACTTTTTCGAGTGTCTTAGACCGTTGGAGGACACCCATTCCAAGTTACGAATGGAGTCTTCCAGATTATTCAGTTCCGTTTTCAGTTGGTTCCCGTTTGGAAAACAGAACGGTTCTGGTCCAGTTAGTGGAGTGTTCGCTCCTTTTCTAGCTAGATCATTTGCTTTTCGTTGCCTTCTATCCCTTGGTGAGCAGGCACCCAGAGTAGGAGGACTTTATTTTCTTTGCCTAATTTGTTGAGCTTCTCTAGGCATTCTTTGACCAACTTCGAATTGATGGTTACTGAGTTGATCGCGTTAAGTGCTGCTTGACTATCGGATAGGATGACAATTTCCTGTTTTCGATAGTTCCTATCTAAGATAAATTGTACGCATCTTTCGATAGCGCAAATTTCTGCCTGAAGGATACTGGGGTAGGTGCCCATTGGTTCGGAGTATTCAGTTTTCGGCCCATATGAATGATAGCGACGCGACGTTTGGCATATATTAACGGACTAATGTCCATCAAAAAAAAACTACTCCAAAAATATCTCATATATTTCCAAAAACCCCGGAGATAAAAATAAAGAAAAATATAAGGTAAAACATATAAGTATTCTATTTTTGCAGTTGCTTTTACTTCTATGTTTCTTCCAACATTTATATTTTTTGTAAAAAAGATATAATGGAATGTAAATGTAAATGTTTTTTGCGGTATAGAATGTAGAATGTTTAGGAGGGGAGTTAATCACCTCGACCTTACAGATCTATTGTGTGTTCCCCTTTCTTGAGTTATAACGAGTTATAACTCATCGTACAGTCTCAGATCTCGTATCTGAAACGGCTCTACAGAGGTCAGTTATTCATCCTCTACATCAGCCGTACCAAAGTTCATGGCACGAACGGTCGTCGTCTCAGCACATTCAGCGATAAGGTGTTCTGGTGTTTCCCCATTTTCCCCACAGAATCTGCATTCGCCGTTGTTTCTCAGCTTCAGCCTACTGAGGTGTTCATTGAGGAGAGTGCACTGTTAGAAACCCCGTGACAATTCGAAGTTTGTTTTTCCTTAAGTCAAGGAAAACATTTAATTTTTCTTGGTCGTAAGTTCTGAGGAACTTTTTCGATTGTCTTAGACCGTTGGAGGACACCCATTCCAGATTATGGATTCTTCAGTTCCGCTTCCAGATTCTTCAGTTTCGCTTTCAGTTGGTTCCCGCTTGGAAAACAGAACGGTTCTGGTCTTATAATTTATAATTATAATTATTAAGTAAGTAGCAATATTAAGCGGAGTTATATAACAGCTATTGGCTCAGTACATAGTACTAACTTTTGATTGAATCCGTACAAATAGTAATTTCAATGTGGCAAGTGATTATTTTTATGTAACGCACACGTATAAGACCAAAAAGATGACTCTTTGATAACTACATTCTATGTAATCATGTACCCTAACATCAACATATTATCAATAACACTCAACAATATACTTATAAATAATTCATTCGAATTTAAGTAAAAATTATTTAATTTATAAACAAACAATATTTTTAAAGTACATTTTCCCTGGGTACTCAATATTTTCATCATTATTCTCCACCACCCATTCCAACTACCGACACCAATACCACCAACACCAGAACCGTAACCAAGATAACCGCTCACCTTGTTTCACGGACGAAGTACCAGGAGAACCACCCTGCGGCGATAGCAATATCGTCCCGTTGCTCCCTATATCGGTACTACCCGATTGTAAGGGCGACTGTTGCAAGTGGATTGTAGTCAATTGCTGTTGGGGTACAGGAGAGGGAGATTCTCCAGCCGAGGCTGACTCCACAGATCCTGGATCGCTAAAACCACCCTGGTATAACAAAACAGTATTATTCATTTGTCACTAGCAGTTATTATTGAGATTTTGAGAAAAATACATTCTTTATAAAAAACAATCTATCAACTAATAAAAACAAAAAGGAAAACATATTTTTATATATTTTTAGAGACCTCTCTATAATGAACTACGGTAAGTTAATAAAATATTATCGTTACCTGTGTAGTATTGTCGTCTGTATCGAAAAAACACAAATTGAACTCCGACCCGGTATCAAACGTCACTTCCGGATTGATTTTGTCGGGAGATGGCGCCCCGCCCAGCGTTCCGCTTAGCGATTGGTCGATTTTGAAAACGTCCATGCTGGAGGGGGAAGCTAGGGGTCGCTGCTAGCTGCCGCGCGCTATTGGGCGGGAATTTCAAATGCGTTAGATGGGTATTTGCCGTTTGGGTTAAAATATCGGATGCTAAGGAAAGCTTACATGAGTTTTACATTCTATATATTTCGTAGTAGTATATTTCCGTACTATTACCGTAATTTCCTACTTGTGCTTTATCCATACACTTTTCTTGAGAAAATATGTAAAATTAAAAATAAGATAATACGATAAGCTAATATTAAAAAATAATTTATTGTTATTTAAAATTAGAAATGGTATTATTTAAAGGTGTGATTTGACTACAGATTTAATATAGATAATTATTTTTAAGATTTCACAAAGTCATTATAGTTAGTTTCAGTATCTTCCTTAAAAAAGTAAAGAGTGCTCGATATATAAATATCACTATTTACCCCCAAAGCGTTTGGGAAATACATAAATAGAAGTTAAATAATCATAGATCAAGATCAAGATAAATAATCAAGATCATATTCATTCAGATAATAGATATCTAGCCCCTCACAAAAAAATTAAGTGAGTCGAAGTCAAAAGAATCAAATAGTAAAAAACATAAGATCTGAAATAAAATACTATTCCAAGAGATTACTATTTGATATATACATTCGATTGAATCTAAACTAATCAAAACGAATTAGGGATCACATATATGTGTATCTCTATTTACTTTATAGACCGATCTCCGTAGATTTATAGCAGCATATCATCAGAACAATTTCGTTTATTTTCATGCATAAATTGATACAAAAACGAAATTATTTCCCGTCATAAAAAAATAACAATAACATAACAAGACGCACTCGAAAACGCATAAATTCCATAAAATCAGTAGTTTCTTATTTAGTTAGTTTGCCTTCTTGATCGTCAAAATTGGTGTTAAATATGGCAAATTTTAATGTTTTGGGAAGACCAACTGGTGTTAGAACGCGTTTAAATACCGAAAAAGTCATCAACACCACAACTTTATTGCAGGAGGATTGGCGATACGTGTTGCAGCTTTTTCATGTTACACAATCGGTCATTTCCAGACTATGGAATCGACACAGAGAATATGGTTTTGTTGTCCGCAGACCAAATCCTCAACGAGTAAGGCGGACAACGAGGCGGGAGATCGGTATATCTTGTCCAAATCACTCTTCCTGAAAGAACACTTACCGCAAGAAACCTACAAAATCTTCTTACGATCGCTAGAGGAACCCGAATTTGAACTCAGACTATAAGAAATAGGCTGCATGAAGTTAACATTCGGTCAAGCAGGGTGCAGTTTTCGTGCAGCACTTAACTGCTAATCATCGTAGATCACGAAGGATATTTGCTCAAAAACATCTTCACTGGGACGTGGATATGAGAGAATATGGTTTTGTTGTCCGCAGACCAAATCCTCAACGAGTAAGGCGGACAACGAGGCGGGAAGATCGGTATATCTTGTCCAAGCCACTCTTCCTGAAAGAACACTTACCGCAAGAAACCTACAAAATCTTCTTACGATCGCTAGAGGAACCCGAATTTCAACTCAGACTATAAGAAATAGGCTGCATGAAGTTAACATTTGGTCAAGCAGAATGCAGTTTTCGTACAGCATTTAACTGCTAATCATCGTAGATCACGAAGGATATTTGCTCAAAAACATCTTCACTGGGACGTGGATCAGTGGAAGCAACTCTCGTTTTCGACTAAGTCATAATGATGCCCGGCGCGGCGGAGAGTTTACAGAAGACCGAATGAACGTTATATGGACACAACAGTCAGAAAAGCGATTCATTTTGGTGGAGGTTGCATCATGGTATGGGGAAGTATAACTTTAAATGGGCGTATACGGACTTGCATGTGTTTCTAGACGGCATAATTAATCCTGAACGATACAGAGATGAGATTCTTGAACCATATGTTATTCCATTTGCTGCTCAGCATGGTCCAGAATTCGTCTTACAACAGGATAATGCCTATAATGAAGACTACAAAGTCGTCCACAAGGAACAGATCTACAAACTTTAGGAGAAAATCTTCCAGAGGAGTGAAACGCCTTTCCTCAAGAGATTATTCGGAGCTTCATTCAGTCTATGACAAATCGGTGTGCAGAAGTGCATAGAAACCGCGGAGGACACACATATTATTTGGAAAATAGCTATTTATGTAACAAGTTGCGAAATGAATGTGTTTTAAGCACGGGACGCAAAATTGTCAATGGGTCGAGTGCTTAAAACACTCTTTTCGCAACGAATTTCAATTCAACGAATTTTTTTTGTGAAAGCGGATAATTTGAGATTTTCATGCTATTATTATTATTTATTTTTAAACATTTTTTAAAATGTTCTGATAATCGGTTTCTAAGGCAATGTTTATGCATTGTTTAATGACAAAGTTTTATCAGGTTCAAACATCGCTGTATTTCCTACAAAGTTTTGTGAAAAAATGAGTGATAATGACGAGTCTTTGGATATTCAACAAGCTGCTGAAACTGCGCTATCTACGTTAGTGCCCGAGAAGTCGAAAAACTTATACGAGACTACCTACAACAACTTTGAAACCTATGTCAAAAAAAATCATGTTGAAAATTTCACAGAAAAGGTATTGCTAGCCTATTTCCTGAAGTTATCAGTTTAAGTTACCTTAAAGCCGTCAACTCTGTGGAGTAAATATTCGATCCTCCGCACCATGACTTACCTGAACAGAAACGTAGATATTATAGCAAATTCACAAACTTTAGTGCATTTTTAAAAAGAAAATCTGCATGCAAAATGCAAAGAAATCAAAAGTATTTAAAAAACTGAAAATAAAACGCTTTACGAAAGAAGCCGATGACAAAGAATTCCTGTTAGCTGAAGTTGTCTTAATCGTTGGAGTATTTGGAGCACGTAGGAGGGAAGAAATTACGTTTTTAGCCCTAGATGCCATTAAAGATTGTCAGTCATTTATTAGCGTAAAGATTCCGAATACAAAAACTCATTTTCCAAGAGTGTTTATGATTACTGAATAACCAATAGCTGGTATCAATTTCTTAATACATGTATTTCGTAAGTACGCAAAACTTCTACCACTCAATGTGACAAATCATCGATTTTTCTTGACATATCGAAAAATCAATGCTGTACCCTGCCAGTTCAATCAATTGGGGGTATGCCAAAAAAGATAGCCGGAATTTCTTTCTTGGACTCTCCAACGCCATTGAATACTCTGGTCATTGTTTCCGGCGCAGCTCTTAACAATGCTAGCAGATTCAGGAGCGGACATAACAGTTTTAAAGCGACATGGAGGTTGGCGAACAAGCTCGGTTGCTGAAGGTTACATTGAAAATTCAATTGAACAGAAAACCGAAATAGCAAAAAAAGTCATGGGACAGAAATATACGCCAAATAAGAAATTAAAAGCAGTTCACGTAGAAGCAGAAGCAGAAGCTACCAGCATTGCCAGTAGAAGAAATTTACATATTCCGACTCCTACAACTTGAGTTTCTTTTAGAGACGAAAAGTTGGATGCCTCTTGTATTCACTTTAATAATTTAAATAAATATTGTACCTTTAAGATTTATAATAAATAAATATTTTCATTGTTTCTAACGTTTCATTTTTTACTTTTCGGTACTAGTGCCTAAACAAGCGTCACTTTTAGATACTAGTGCCCGGGGGTGGATGGGCCGTATGGGAAAACGGGAAAAACCTTTACCGAGTTTCAAATAAGTCTACTTCCCCTAGGAGATGCAAGACCTTGTCGTTGGTGGGGAAGCTCCTGGTCAGGTGCTGCGGGGAATCTCCCCTAGCACTTGGCTTGGTCTAAGAAGCATCTCACTAATCGTCTTATCCCTGACTGTAGTGTCGTGGCCAGGGAATTGCACCAAGACATATAACGATACCGGGCGGGGCTACGGACAGCCTCAACCTTGGGGCATCGGGGGGCACTTCTACATGCGGGGCTCTGTAGAAGTGGACCGACTGTCCCTAGCGACTCATGGGAACACTATGAGATCTGGTAATAATAGTAATAAAAACATCACCGGTGAAGCTGTGGGGAAACCCCCTAGCAACACTGGGAACAGTAACAATGAAAGTTCCAAGGGGCCAAACCCAAAGGGAACTACAGGAGAGGTGGCTGACACTTGCGTGAGACCATCCTCCGCAAGTGGCATACAAGTTACCACCTCCTCCAAGGGTCGGGAGCCTACCTCCTACCTCTAAACCCAACAGGCGACACAAGCTACCGTTTCGTCTACCCGGCCTGGGTCGTAGCTCCTCGACTGTGAAGGACACGGGTCTCCGTAGGAAGTCCTGGGACTGTATGATGAGTTATAATTCAAGAAAGGGGGACACAATAGATCTCTAAGGTCGCAGAGATTAACCCCCCTCCCACTTATTCTAAATTCTAATTCTAAATAAGTGTAATCGTGTTATTAAAGTTTGTAAATTAAAAAAAAAAATTTGAGCCACCTCAATTTTTCGGTATTTGCATCTCTTTTAGTGTTGTTGTTAATTGTTGTTTAAAATGAATTTGTTAAACATTACTGAGACAGCAGAGAAAAGTTAAATAAGGTGTAAACTAGATTAGATAATAAAATATTAATAGGTCTCGAAAATCCAAATATTCTTTATTATGGACTGTAACATAACATTAAATCAGAACACATTTATATCCATTGCCTAGGTTCTTCTCGTTTGAGCCAAATGTAGAAAAGTATAGAGGAAAAGTTTCGTGATAAGAACTATATAATGCAGTTTTAATGGCGACCGCGGTTTATTCAGTTAAAAACACGTGTACACGAGGAGGCTGCTGCTGTAGCAGAGAAGAGAGAATTTCTTTCTACAATGTGTAAGAAACTATATACCCGAAAATCTAAAAGTAATGTATGTCAGAGAGGATTAGGTCAGCTGAACTAAATGAATCAAGAAGTCTTAAAGTTTTTCAAAATCGTGACTCAGAATCGTAGCCTATTCATGATCAAATTACCGTTATCGAAAATGGAAATAAAGCAGTAGAACCCTGTAAAACTGAGCCATTTTGTAGTAAAAA